AACCAAAATTTGGATTCAAATGAGAATGACCAATTTCTTCAATAAACCATACTCTTGAATAAATCAATCTTGAATCTGACCTAGATATATATGAGAGAGTGTTTGATATAGCAAGATGAGGTTTTCATATTTCAAATGCAGTTTTTCAAAAAGAAACCATTTGGAAAACTCAAAGATGAAAAATGAAGGTTACACTTGAGGAAGAAGAGAAAGTTTGCAAAGAAACTTTCCAAAACTTGTCTACAAAAGTGACGGCTACCAAATGAGGAATGCATGCGTTTTTACACAAAAATTCCTAGGTTAGAATCGTATAAGACAGCAAAGGATTTTGTAGAATATGACAAAAAAGTGGGTAGGATCCAGTTGAAAACAATGACCTGGAAAACTTTACTAACGCAAAGGTTGACTACTCATATGGAGGAAGGATGACTAGTCATACGGAGAAAGGATGACTAGTCATAATCTTCAGGAATAGGTTAATGCAATGCAAAACTTACCTTTGTCAAACACAATGTTGTCCATCATAATGTAGCTAGATAAGAACACGTAGAGAAGTAATTCTTAATCTAAACTTAGAGCTTGGGAAATTACAATTATCGTCCTATTACAAAATTGTCAAGGAAAGCCAAAAGAAAATCACAAAATGCATACACTTACCGTTATCCCCAATTTTCATGTCCCACATTGTGTTTCTTTTCTAAAATTTTAACACCTGTCTAAATAATTGACATAACTCTAACACTGTCAAGTCTTATTAAAAAAACCCCAATAAATATAAACATCGTAATAGCTCTTCTTCTTCACTTTTAATCTTCTCTTCACAGCCAAATAGATCCAAATTATCTCAAGGAAGAACCACCACATAGCTACCAAAGCAAATCCCTTGTAACCAACCAAAATCGTTCATCTTTCCTAATATGGGATGAGATTCAGAAGGTTCTTCATGGCTTTGAAGTTGATGACGGCAGAAAAAAACATAAGCAGCTTTGAAATTGCAACAAAAGCATACTGCAGATTTTTCTTCCTAGAAGATTTGAAATTAATGTATTGTTTTTTTTTTGGTTGAGAAAAGATGGTATTTCATTTAACCGAATTATGGAAACATATAGAAAAAGAAAAATGGATGAAAAGTTTGGTATTTTTTGCTCGGTTAGTGATTTTGATTAAGATTGAAAAGTATTATTTAGATAGGTGTCAAAATTTTAGAGAAAAAGGAGCTCGCATTTTCCTTACTTCAAGGCCCAACCTCACTATTTCATCTTTTGATGGACAAATAATTATCTATATATATAAAGCAAAAGGCAGAGAATGGTGAAACATTCAAAATATCAGAAAATGCCCTTAGTTAATACAAACATTAAGAATTGAAATTATTAATTAAATGAGAATAATATGGTAAATTCACATTTTTCATATTAAAAAAATTAAAATTAAAAGAAAATTCAGATAATGAATCCTATTTTTATGGAACACAACTACCCTTTTTAAAAAAAAAAAAAAATCTAAAAACAATTTAAATTTTTTTTAAAAAAAGCCTCTTGCAAGTGCGAAAATGCGTACGCAAGGCAAATCTATATTTATTAAAGCTTCAAGAACCCAAGAAATGATCTTAACAAACTTAAATGTTAAAAAATAATAATTTTTGATTTTTTCCTCTACTGATTTAGTGTTACCGTATATCACACTGACATAGTGTCATTAATAAGTTTATGATATTGTATATCACACTGACATACATAGTGTCATTAATAATCAACTATTGTTAATACGGTACGAGTACACCAATTTACAACACTTGATACAATGTTATTGATATAATTAAAATTGTACTCTGTCAACAATATTGTACAAAGTATTTGCGTGGCGTCATGTTATTTGCTAAAGAAATTTCAAAGAAGCTAACAAGGGCATTGCTTTGTAAATCATTGAGGGACGGATGATGTTGATCATGATATGGGTCTTGATCAAGCAGATTTGTAGTTGTTATAACATGTGTACTGACCAAAAAGCCAAGGAGGAGATAGCCTTGCAGCAGCGAAGAGGCAATGGATCGGCTACATAGGTCCGGCAGAGTGCCGTCAATGGAGAGGAGAGGAAGTAGGGAGAGATGGAATTGGGGGAGGTCGACAAACAACGTGAAAACTAAAGAGTCTCTAATCCAGTATGGTTAGTTTTTTTACAAATTTATAAATAAACCCACTTCTAGACATGTATTTATAAGAAAACCCAAGCATTATTTAAACATAGAAACACACCCAAAATCAACTCCAAAGTCAACTTTTTGGGTGTATTTATAAATGAATTTTGAGTGTGTGTAATGATGAGTTTTGGGTGTGTTTATAAAGTGTTTTGGGTGTTGGGTTTTTTTTATAATTTCAGCCTCCATTTTGGGTGTTTTAGTGAAATTCCCTAGTTTTTTTATTTATTAATGAAAATAATAAGAAATTGATATGACAAAAAAAAAAAAAAAACTAATATAATTTTAATGAGATTACTACAAAAATTGAAATAGACAACGGTGTCTTTGAAAATCGTTGTTAAATCAACCACCATCTTTTGGTGTTAAACGACGACGGTGATTAACTGTCGTCTATTATTTGTAAAGACGACACTTTTACTCAAAACTGTCGTCTATTAAAGACGATGGTTTGTCTAATAGAACCGTTGTTTATTATATCGAAAGACGTCAGATTTGTTAAAAAACCGTCGTCTATTAATTGTAAAGACGACAATTTCTTTAAATATTGTCGTCTATTAACTCTGAGACGATTGTTATTAACTCTAAAACTGACATAGTAATTTTACATTTTAGCTTCTTCTTTTCTTGTTTCCAGTGGTATCAGAAATCTATACTCAAATATGCTATTACCCACACCATACATATATATATATATATATATATATACACTCAAATATTGTTTCTTTCATAAATAGAATATCAAGAGAACAATAGAACAAAATAAAATCTAAAAAATGAAATTACTCTAGGGTTGCTAGCTGCAAGCTGCAAGCCTAATTACAATAATACACCAAAATTCATATACCTAATTATCCTTTAAAGTCAAGTTCTCCATATATATATAGAGCTATACATTCATCATCACCGATTTTCCTCTGCATTCTATCTGAACTTCATCACTTTGTTCTTGGGTGTGTGAGTTAGCTGCCTTCTTGCACATTTTTTCATAGGCACAGTAAGACACAAGCTTGTACGAAAAATTAGTGATTTTACAGTAAGAAAATAGTTAGGTCTTCGCTCTAAGTGAAATCTAATAAAAACAAAACATTACACCAATAACTAAATGAGGGCTTATATAGCATAAAACATGTTTAACATAACTATTTTATTATTATTATTATTTTGAAAAACATGCTTTATTTAAAAATAATAAGCACCACAAAAGTGTACAAAAGATAGCATTGAAATAATCAATATTATCTAAAATTTAAGCACGAGAAATAGGAACAAATGCATAATCTTAAAAAAAATCTCGTGTATGAACAACTCAAAGGGAAACAAAAAAAGAAAAAGAAAAAAGAAAGATCACCCCCTTAGTTCTGCCCATCAAAGAAAAGAGAACTTTATATTCATTATTCATATCATGTTTACCGACTATAATTTCTTTTTGTTGGATCATATGTTTACCGACTATATTGTAGACCGCTTTTGTAATAGTACGAGATGGTATCAAAAGTAAGCATGCATGCATATATTATTTTATGTTATCCAACATGTAGTATTGTATGACGGCGAGAAATCATAAACATTAAATTAACTTACTTTTGGCAAAAGCTATAATAGCATAAACGAAAGTATACTTGTATCAGATTCTTTTCAGCGTACACAACACAGATTTTGTGTTAGTCAGTCCACAGCTTTTGCTTGATTCTAGTGTCTAGTGTGCTGAGTGGAAAGATGAACAACTAGTTTAACTTGTAGTCCACCTACACTCGCAAGCGCACGAATTGACTGTAGAATAGACATGTATAAGTGTGAGGTCGTCCCCACAGAGAGTGTGAAATGTTAAATATTTCATGAAATGAAATCAATAGAACAACATCACCATGAATCACATTAGAATAAACCAATAAACTTACTAACAAATCAAGAGCACTAACCTGGATTAGAAGAAGAAGACATGAAGGTCTGCTGGAGCCGTCTTCTATCTTTGCAATACTAAATGCTAATATCTCAATAGGGCTGATAATATCTTAGCGTGTAATTGTAAGAATAGGGACTAGCCCTTTTATATTGATAACAAAACCCTAACCTTCCTATTATATTTTAGGGATTGCTAATCTTATGTCATAATTCATGGATATCTTACAATATAAGAAGGCCCATATAGCTTTATACATATTGGACTTCAATACACACGGTCCAACAAGCTATGTGAAATATATGTATTATAATTAATACTCAATTTTCTTCCAATATGAAAATGATGGAAAACTAATCCAACCCAAATTAATTCAATTGCTAACCTAATTGATTCAAAGTTGATTTGTTGGTTGAAAAGAAAATTAAATAAAGCATAAAAATTGAAAATACAAATAAACTTGAATAGGGATTAAATGAATGAGAAAAATAACTAAGATTTAGATTTCACACCATTATTCCATAAAACTCTAATTATTTATCTAACAATTCCCGTGAAGTAGCAATCTAGAAATCATGTTATTGATATAATTAATATTGTACTTTGTCAATAATATTGTACAAAGTATTTGCTTGGCGTCATATTATTTGCTAAAGATATTTTGAAGAAGCTAACAGGGCCTTGTTTTGTACAAAGTATTTGCTTGGCGTCATATTATTTGCTAAAGATATTTTGAAGAAGCTAACAGGGCCTTGTTTTGTAAATCAATGATCTCAAGTTCGAATGATCTTATGACACATTTGTAGTATGTGCATGAGAAATTCCATCTTCCTTGTAATTTAGATTATCACTTAATTGTATTTGAAAAACTTAGATATTATGAAGAAAATAGAACATAAATTAAAAGGGGAAGAAAAACGTAGTTTATATATAATAACAACACAAATGACACCGGATGCTTTACATGAGAAGAGCACAGTACTACTACTATAGTCGTAACCGATCCGTACATCACAGTGACATTAGAAGAAATCAAACACACATAACACATCTCTTATTAATGACATGAACTTAGCAAGCTAGTCATTCATGCATGGATGATCAGTTTCAGTTGGGAAATGGAAGTTTGTGTGGTGGCTTGACAGGGCCAGTTGAGGGCTTTAGTTTCCTCGGTGGCTTTGATGCCACCACATTCTGTTCAAGATGGCGATCGTGATGAGGTGGCTTGTCTCCCTTGCCCTTAGGAGGCTGATCAACTGGCTTGGGTTCTGGCCTGGGTTCTGGCTTGGGTTCTGGCCTAGGCTCTGGCTTGGGCTCTGGCTTGGGTTCTGGCTTGGGCTCTGGCTTAGGCTCTAGCACCACATTCTGTTCAAGATGGCGATCGTGATGAGGTGGCTCGTCTCCCTTACCCTTAGGAGGCTGATCAACTGGCTTTGGTTCTGGCTTGGGCTCTGGCTTGGGCACTGGCTTAGGCTCTGGCACCACATTCTGTTCAAGATGGCGATCGTGATGAGGTGGCTTGTCTCCCTTGCCCTTAGGAGGCTGATCAACTGGCTTTGGTTCTAGCTTGGGAGGCTGATCAACTGGCTTTGGTTCTGGCTTGGGCTCTGGCTTGGGCACTGGCTTAGGCTCTGGCACCACATTCTGTTCAAGATGGCGATCGTGATGAGGTGGCTTGTCTCCCTTGCCCTTAGGAGGTTGATCAACTGGCTTTGGTTCTGGCTTGGGCTCGGGCTTGGGCACTGGCTTAGGCTCTGGCACCACATTCTGTTCAAGATGGCGATCTTGATGAGGTGGCTTGTCTCCCTTGCCCTTAGGAGGCTGATCAACTGGCTTTGGTTCTGGCTTGGGCTCTGGCTTGGGCACTGGCTTGGGCTCTGGCACCACATTCTGTTCAAGATGGCGATCGTGATGAGGTGGCTTGTCTCCCTTGCCCTTTGGAGGCTGATCAACTGGCTTTGGTTCTGGCTTGGGCTCTGGGAATGGCTTGTGCTCATCAAGTGGGGTTGGTGGCTTTTCTCCCTTGGGAAATTGGCCCTCCACCTCTAACAAATGGTGTTCATTGTGGGGTGGCTTGTCAACTGGTGGAGGCTTCTCTCCTCCTTTGCCCTTGGGTTGTTGGGTTGGGGGCTTATGTTCTGGAAATGGCAATGGCTCTTCCTTGTTAAGTTGTGTTGGAGGCTTGTAGATTTGTGGCTTTGGGTCATGGTTATCAGCAAGAGAAGGAGTTGTGGCGGTGAAAGCCACCACTCCAAGAAGAAACACTAGCAAGTATTTGGAAGACATCTTTGGGCTCTTAGAAGCTTTGGGATGATTTGAAACTAGTAGAAGCCGGTGGCTTTTTATAGTAATATGGGAGCACTGTCGTAGTGACACGTGTCGTTTTGCATTTGGAATTTTTAATGAAGTCTGCGGACTCAATGGTGTTTTGCATTGTTGGTACAATTTATAAATGAATTGGGGTCCATTTGGATACTCGGGAGTTAAAAAGTTTGACAATTTGCTATGTTCATACCTGGTGGGGACCTGAATGAAAGCTTGCACGACCGAGTGTTCACAACTCACATGCACAAATATCAGTGACCTGGAGTATCTGGGGCAGCTACTTCAAGCTCACTGGTTATAGATAGTGTTTTAACTTTTAAAAAGACTAAGAAAAATAGAAAATCATTTATAATAACTTATTTTTGCATGTGTAAGAAAAAAAGAAGAAGAAAATATTACTTTCTTTTTTTGTGCGTAGCTGAGCATAGCCAATTTCTTTTTTTTGGAAGAGATGATAATAAGCACTATAAAGAAGGTATAAAAAATAGCACTGGAATAATTAATAGACTCGCGCTTGAACAACTCCAAGAAAAACAACAAAAAAAGAGAAAAAAGAAGCGGATGAAGGCAAGAAATCATAAACATTAAGAGCCCGCCGTTTGATAATCATTTCAATTTTAATTTTTAGTTTTAATTTTTCATTTTTTGTATTAGTATAGAGAAAAAAGATGGAAAATGGAAGTGAGAATGAGAGTGAATATGAGATTGAGAGGGAATATGAGAAGAGATGATGAGAGAGAGGAATAACAAAAGTGAAAACAAAAACTTAAAACTGAAATCTAATTCAAATTATTTTTATTTTTGTTTCTCCTCTCTCCCATCTTCCCCACCCATCCACTCTCTCAATCTCATCCTAACTCTCATTCTCACTCTTATTTTCTTCTATACTCTAGTCCAAAATTATCTAACTTTCGGCAAAAGCTATTATATTGTTTTCAGCGTACACAACACAGATTTTGTGTTCGTCAGTCCACAGCTTTTGCTTGATTCAAGTGTGTACTGTGCTGAGTGGAAAGATGGACGGCTAATTTAGCTCATTTCTTTTTGTTTTTTTATATTATATATTAATAATACTAGCTAGCTAGCCCACAATGAGATTTCTCCTTTTCCCACTTGGGATTTGTATTTAATTGCAACTTGTTAACACGATCGATCATGTAAATTGCTTTCAATTAGAGATGTCATTATAATATATAAAAACTAAAGTGCCCTTCAAGTTTGCCCAAGAAACACTTGTGCGTGCATGTGCATTTGGTCAGCATGGTGAGAAGACTCTGAAGGCATGAAATATTTGTATACGAGTCATCTGAGTGCCTTCTCTTTTTTCCCTGACAGCCACCAGGTGAGCCAAAATTTTATCACATCACAGTACCAATGCATGCCTGCCGCGTTTTATTTTGCAGATAATTTATTAGTGGTCCGTTTGATCGGTTGTGAACATATAGCAGTAAAGTCTACATTATATGATAAGATCCTTAAATTGTTAACGTCACTGCCGACATGTTAATTGTTATCGCTCAGTAATTTTCAAACATGTCGGCTCTATTATTGCCTCGGGACAATGGCGCAGGAACCCTAGGGCTTATAGAATGGTTGCTTAACTTTAAGCATATTGAGCCAGTAGGTATAGCTCAGCCAATTTTGTTCTTCTACTTACACTCATGTGTGTAGAGTTTAAAATTATACCAACCTATATTCAATGGGTTCTTTAATATTAATAAGATTTTTCTTAATTTTTGTTTAATTTCCAATTTCAATTGTTATTGTTAGCTTTTTATGAATTAGGATTTAGGTGTTAAATTTTGGAGTCTTTTTTCTTATGCAATTTGCTAGGATTTTATTGATGGCTCGTCCTTTTTCTGATTTAATCTATTCATTATTTGATCTTTGCTTTTATAATCTAGTTGTCTCTTGGTTTTGTTTAATATTTGTAGATTGTGATTGTGCAATTGTAGATCTATATGACTACACTCCCTATGTCTTCCCATAAAATTAAAAAATTGTTAATTGAAGAAAGGTTGCTACCACTCATTTCTTTTGCATATTTAAAAATAAAATTAAAAAAACCTATAGCCTATAGCCAATTAACCATGTAAACATGTTTTTAAGAAAAAAAAAATGTAATACAATGGATCTCCCATAAAAAAATTATTAGCCCACCCCTATAAAATTTCCTGAGTCCGCCCAAGCACCCAATGAATATTTGCGTAAACCCTCATCCCCCAATTACTTGTACAAAAAAAAAAAAAAAAAAAAACAAAACAAAAATTAAGCAGCTGCATATGGAAGATAAATATGGAATTTTTTTATATTTTATATTTTTCACTCCTATTTAGATTCTTAGAGCTTCTAGGATTTGAGGTAGTATTTAGGGTTGTTATTCTGATCTTCATAATTAATAAATTTTGAGATTTTCTCATATTTCGTGGTAGATTTCAGTTTCTTTCTTTTGGGGTTTACATTTGTTAGCCTTTAATTATCACGCTGTCATTTTATTTATTTTGAAAAAGAAAAAAGTAATTGAGACCCCACTTGTGTAATATTTTCAATGTACGAGGCCCATAACGGAATTGTGAAGGATATAAAGATGTTACTTTACCAGAATTATGCGAAAGAAGTTGTTTTTAGGCAACGAGAATGTCCATAACAAAGTTGCTTTATGAGTAAATGAACCCTACGTTGGATGACCTTATAATCTAACCACCACTAGTTCTGTTGTTGAAAAAACCAAACCAATTCGGCTGATATCTTCAATTGATTGTACAATTTGTCAATCGGACAATGGGAATTGGGAAACTTGTGAGCAGTGTAGGTGGGAAAGTCCTTCTGAAGTCAATCAATTCTTGAGATTGAAAAGAATCTAGCGAGCCCCATATGATTTGTAATCGTATAGGAACAGAAAACATCTCCACGGTCTCAAATGAATTTCTCAGTGCTCAAAAGTCGTATATGTTTGCTTTAGTTTTGACAAGTGGATATAGTAGTGGAAACACAAAACCGTTCTTTATTTTTTTGTGGCCAATTTTTCTTGACCACAAAGGAAATTACGTATAACCCATTTTTGTGATTTAAGGACTAAAAACTTCACTAAAACTAGATAATACAACCAAAATAGCTAGTTTTCGATAATGTAATGACGTGGTCTCGTTAAAATCTTACTTAAAAGAAATTGTATGAATCCACAAACAAAGCTACATTCATTGAGCCCACATTCTAATTTTTATTAAAAATACCAAGAGGCTATACATAATCTCATTGATTGAGATAGAACATCTTGAATTGTCGTTTACCACTGGATCTTGCAATTACGTCCCCATACATAAAGACGACCAGACTGGGCTGACCTGTAAGTAGTGCTATGCTTCATATCCATCGGTCCAATAGGCAATATACACGTACATCCAAATTCTATCATATTATCAATTGCCTTTAAACATGTTTGCCACCACCATGCATGCAACATTTACCAAAAGGTGGATATGCCATCCGGTTAATGCAGGAAATTAGATTGTCTTCTTTAGTTTTGTACTTGTCTAATTTGCAATTATGTGTTGATGTAAAAGTCAAATTGATGCACCATACGTTGTAGATAAACCAGATGTTAGACCATCTTTTTTTCCCACGGTCATGATGCTAGATCTGTATTCTTGATTGGTCGTCAATCCCGTGGTCTTTTGCACTGCGTAGAAATTAAGAGAAGTTCCCATCCTTGGTGCTTATAATATTATAAAGAAGTGTTAGGGTCATCAAGATTGTTGACAAGCTCATATGATTTGTTAGTGTTTCATTTTCAAATATAACATTCTATATGTAAAAGGACTTCTATCTCAAGTGGTTAAAAGTAGTTATCTTACATTTAAAGTCCTATATTCGAACCCCTCTCCTAAGAGTAGTCACAAATTTCTTACAATTTCACCTAATAATCCAACTTTTCAACTCGATTGGTGGGCTACAAATGGTCCTATTACTCTTTAATTTCTGTATCTGTAACTTTCCCAAGAGAATTTACAAACTTTGGTCTATATAGAAATTAAGTGCACAAACATGTGTCCTGACAGCATACACTACTACATTTTATAATTTGTACGACGAAGAGGATTTTGTTGTGCAACGTACATTTTAGTCGCATAAATTTCAGCGCGACAAAAACTTCGTCGCGCAAAGATCATAAAGAAAGACTTTGCGCAACGAAAAAAATATAGGTCGCACAAAGTGGCTTTGTGCGACGAAAAAATATTAGTTGCGCAAAGTTTTGTGCAACGAAAAAATATTGGTCGCCCAAAATGACTTTGCGTGACGAAAAAATATTGGTCGCGCAAAGTCTTAAAAAAAATTAAAATAATAAAATAAAATTATCATTG